GCCGAGAGAGAAGAACAGAATCTAAGGAAAGGATCCAAGGATAAGGAGGGTCTAGAAGTGTGCGGAATGTTAAAGGAAGGAATAGGGTTCAAGGACTACCTACATGGACCAATGGATGCAGGAACAAAGCTTAAGGTCAAATTCAGGACCGGGGACATAGGCCTTCGAGAACGTCGACGAAGACATAGGACGGTAGACGAGGAAGACGACGAGTTCAAATGTGATTGCGGCTTCAAATGCGAAGATGTTGTTCATGTAGTCGCGGAATGTCCGTTGTACAAGAAGGAGAGGGAAGTGTACGTGACTGAGCTGGGAAAAATAGATGGAACGTACAGGGAGATGTTTGAGGCATGGAATAGAGAGGAAAGGACGGTAGCTGTACTGGGGCATAGGAGGTGGGTTGAAAAGGCGGGAAGGGATATCGTTAGGATAGACAGACTAGGGAAGACATTTTTGAGCCACCTTTGGCAAAGTAGAAAGGAACGATTGGCCATCGGTGATCGGTCCTGTGGGAACAATGCTCCGTCCTCTCGAGGACGCGTGGTCAATGGTCTAACCGCAAGGCATGCAAAACATAAGAGTACGCCCCCCCCTGCCATTGGGATTGGGTTTTCGTCGCTTGGCAACGACGATGTAAAACAAGCCAATTCTATCGTGAACTCGGCAACCAGGTTAGACTACCGTTTCTTTTTTTTGTCTTCTGTTTTGTCTTTGGCGGTAACCATAATGGTGGTCGAGTAGATCATGTTGTGCGGGGTGGAGAACCCTCACTCCGCGCAAGGGGGATGATCGCACCACGTTGTGTTAAAATGGTCAAGCACCCTCGAGGCAGTTACACAGTGCTTACAACTGTCTCTGGAAGTGGAAGTACCAGAAAATAAACAAAATCATACGCAGCTGTCATCCGTACGCAAGGAAGTAAGCACAAGATGCCGAAAACCCTTAGCAGGATGCAGCGCACCCTTCATGCGACTCGCCGAATACCTCACGGCGCTTCGCGCTTGGTGATGTGAGAGCCTGGTCCGGTGAGAACCCGGCGTGCTCCGTCCCGGCTTTGTAGGGATGCGAGGTCAATGGTCTAACGACTACGGCATGCACGACTATGAGTACGCTCCCCCCCCACACAGAATATATCGTGGAACACCGGTACGGGCACATGCGCCAATGTGTTGGTTCGCACAGCAACCCTACAGCTGCGCAAGCGAAGGTAACGGCAGCACGAGGGGACCTGCAACGCAGTTTGCACGGGCTTTCCCGCGAGAACCATGCGCGGAAAGGGAAGGACTTAATCTCGTCCGGGATCCGGGGACGGATAATGCTCCCAGTGACCGACGCGGAGCCGTCTGCTACGATGCGGGCGCCCTCGAGGAACCCTGTCTCAGCTGTGATGTTCCCACGGTACATCAGCATTGACAAACCCCATGCGGACCCTGTGGTAGGGGGAAGTGCATCCTAGGATTTGACAGCAGCCCCTGAGGGCCAGACACCCGTAGTCTTAACCCACACCAGTAACCCTCGAGAGGTTTAGACGGGAACAAGGTAGCGTTGGCTGTTTTAGGTCAAGTAGACGCAGGAGAGAGATGAAAAGAGAGAGAGCTAGAAGACTGCAGGTATTTCGATTTTCCCTCCGGGAATCAGCAATAGGAGTAACCCAGCGTGCCATGTCATATAGATTTGCAGAAGCACTGGGCTTGCCCACGCACATACAACAGATAGGATGGTAGGGAGGGAGCGAGTCTGGTGCCCCCCTTGTCGAGCGGAGCCTGGTCCTGATTTTTGTTTTATTTTATCGGGGTGGAAGACTCGCCCCAACAGTGTTCGAAGCACGTGTGAGTTTGACTTCCCTGTCACGCAAAACGCGCAGGCGTCTTGCTCCCGTCGTCGAGTTTTCTATCTTTCTGGTTTCGTGTTGTTGGAAGTTTTCTCTCTTGTCTTTTGTTCATTGGAGGTTCGTCATATCTCCCTCCGCCTAAATCACCGGGTGTTTGATGCTCACGGACGAAGCCTCTCGGTTCCTTGTCCCCCCTACATCCTCTCTGTTTTTGACAATAGTCCTGTCGATTGTTTCGGTTGTACACGTATCGGACCGACTTCGGATTCTTCACCAACACAGCCTTGAGGATGATATGTCCCGGGCGGTAGGAAGGTAGCTACTTCAGGTCAAATTGGTTTACCGGTGTTGAAGACATCGGGATGGTTACTATATGCTCTCCTTGTCAATTTACACGAAGTAATAACTGGACGCAGTTCAACCCCACCTCGCCACTGCAACGCTCTCGGCTGAATGCGGCAACGAAGAGAATCCCCGCTGACTGACATGGTTCCGGCTAAGGGGAACGACCATTGTTTACACCCATACACAAGACTTGTACTTCGAGAAAGGCTATTACGCGGCATAGGTGCGCAACACGCCGGTGCTCCTAGTGGCTATAAGAATTGTCCACGCCAACTTCGACATGCACACAAATAAGATGGTAGTCCTTATCCATGAACGGTTCGATATTACGAAACGAAAGCCGACGCCACGGACAAACCAACTTCCACCTTCAGCCTCGCAAAATTGTTCAAGAGCCACCCCCGCTAGATACTCCAGCCCCCTCCACAACCGACAGCGAGAAATCCATTGTAACCGGTCGGGAAAGGTAACCGTCGTCGTCTCTTCCGTCCTGCGCAGGCACTTCTGACGTCGTAAAATCACTACCGACAGAGACCATCTCCCCACTACCTGCCGGGGCGTTGCTACCTGTCGGGGCGTTGCCCTCGCCCGCGTTCTCACCACCACACACCCCGCATCCTCCCTCGGCTGGACCACCCCCCGTCGCACTGGGGCCTGCCCCTTCAACAGATTCCTGCCCGAACCCACCCACATACGCCGCCAGGTAATCGAGGAGATAATCTTTTCTTGAGGAGTTCATTGTGCTCTTCTTAATCCCGGCGTCCTTTACGAGCACGAGAAGTTGTCTTCCGGTGCACCTGTCGCTAATCTCCGCCCGGGACATCCCCTTCAACTGATTAAGGATCTAACGACTACGGCATGCACGACTATGAGTACCCCCCCCCCCCGCCCTCTCCTGCGGCCCCGCCCCCCTGTGCAACCCACTTTGCTTTGCCACTACCGGCCCACGCCCCTCCATTTGGCCCGACCCGTGCGTTCAGCTGTTGCCGCAAAGCAGGCGCGGCCTTCGAGAACTTGAGGGAAGTATCCTCCCTTGCACTCTTCGCGAAGTCACCCATTCGCACGTTGAGGATTTTCCCGACAACAAAAAGAAACATCTCTTGGGGTACACTAGGATCGATGGCAGGAGGACCACGGGGGCAGCCGTTTCCCCACATTTCCCTGACGACCTCCGCCTCGCTTACAACTTTGAAAATCTCCGCTGGCAAATCTCCGAGGCAAGCAGCAAGGAAGATGGGGTTTTCAAAAAATGGAATATGCCCCTCTCCACGGCATACACGAACTCTACCCACTCCATCGTAGGGTAAAGAAGTCCCGGACAGTTCTTCATTTCGTTCTTCAAATCGACTATTGCTACGATATCTCTCAGCATAGAATCAGTACATATCGCCTCCCCACAGGACCGGCGAGTGTTGTGTTGGACGACACGCACCCAATCCTGGGAAAGGTTGTGTCTTCGTTGATGCGTCCAAGCCTTGCTGGTCGCCCACCCGGCAATGTAGTACAGGACTTGCCCGCGCGGTTTTGTGATCTGCTACCTTTTACTCGGGTAAGAGAGCTCCACGGCCACGGAATCCTTGCGCTCTTTCACGTACAACTTGTACAACTCCTGCATTAAGGCGAGGGGATGGGGAACGGTTCCATCAGAGGAGCGCGGGCATGGGTAGAGTACCTCAGCTACTTGGCCGTGGAATGCATATAAACAAGATGAAATTGGATGGTTGATTCCAGACCCGAGCGCCAGGAATTGGTGGTAGCTCCAACTCACCTATCCACACAGAAATAAACAGACACGCAAACCCACAAATGCCCAACTCGCTAACTGACCACCATATCAACCCACCTCCTCCACGTGATTGATGATGATGCAGGATAGGTAGTGCAACGCCTTCTCGTCCTGGTAGTCTCGCAACCGTGCCTCCAACACTTCCGGCTGACTTATCCACGCCCGGAGTCTACCCTCCCAGCCAGCATTGAGGGTCAAGGTGGACGCAGTCGCCGCCTTAGTATCAGCCTTACGGTGTTCGAAGGCGGCGACTCCGTCAACGTGGCCGTTCCAAGCGTGGGAAATGAAGCGCGTGGTCGGGGCAAGATCTTTGACCTTCTTCCAGAGCGGGCGGAGCTAGCGTCTACGCCCCTCGAAGAAGAGGGGGTCCACCCTCTCCCACCATTTTTCTTGACGCCGTCTAGGTCTCCGCGAAGACCGCTCGCGATTTGGCTCCGCACGTAAACCCTAAGATTTTGTACGGAGGGGTCGTCATTCTGCCGCATGGTGATCCAGACGGCCGTGGACAAACACAATATGCGCTGGTGAACAGCTTGTAACTAATAGGCCCTCGTTGCGATGTTGATCAGTCGTTCAACTAAACGACAAAAGCTGATACGGATATGCGAGTTCACGCCAACTGGATACATTGGCTGATACGTCGTGCTTAGTCTGAATTGCGCGAGCAGACTACGATCTACATGGCGATCTCACCCGAACATCATCATGTTCCGCGGCGGCATCATGCATATCGCGGACCATGTCCTTCTTGCGCTCCGCCTCTTCGTCCGAACCCTCCGTGTCGTCGTCATCCTCCTCATCGTCGGAGTCCTCTCCGCGCCCTTGCGCCGAACAGCATTCGAGAGCACAAGGGGGGAATAAAATGACGCAGTCGCACTCTGCTTTCGTTGGGAGCATCTGGAGAGTTCAACTTTGCGGAAATGACGTCGGAGTATGAACAGGTCAATACATGAAGCGGTCATCACCGACGGGGCAACACCCAGCAGAACAAAGTATGAAAGGATAACACAGAAAATGCACTCTAGTAGTCACTGCTGAGACTCGTTCGACTCTTAAGTTACCCAGGCTTCAGCTTACTTTTGCGCTCTGGACGCATCTCGCGAGTCCCTGCATCATCGCTGTCCTCTTTCTCCTCGCCGCCCGCCTGTCATCAGTGTGCGAAAACGATGCCCAAAGCGTTACGAACCGCGCGATCTATATGACGATTACTGCTGTCGCGGAGAGGACTCGATATATCAATGACCGCAACCATGTAAGTTGTGGGCAATACGACAAGTGGGGGAACTAGGCGCGAAGTCACCGCACTAGTTGGGCAATTCAAGAGAACGAAGACGGAGAGAAAAATATTTCGCCGTGTGATGGACTACAACACGACAATGGACGCCATCAACATTTCCCAAGATAAATTATCACGGTAAACAGCCTCGTAAAAACCCTGACAGGTGATGGGGTGTCCTCGCCGAAAATGGCGCTCCGCATCCATTCCATATCGGCACCTCTGGGAGGGGGCAGGGGGAGTGGAAGAGATAAAGAGGAACAAAAAAAATGTTTCGTGGGTCTGCGCTTCATATTTCCTTTCTTTCTTTTTTTTTCTCCCATCGTTGGACTCGTCTGCCCCTCTGGCCCCTATCCTCCACTTCTACCAGCCAGACGACCCTACCGGGGTCACACAGGAGGGAGGGTTGGACCCCCTCCTGCGGTTCCTGCCAGAGATATTTTTATCGCGAGAAGGGTAGCAATACCTTCCCTCGCGACTTATGACGTCGATCAACTTTACCAATACCGAGCTTTGCAGCGCGTCGCTTCCAACAGAAACCAGGATTTAATTAGCGAGAAAAAGATCACTTTTTCAGGACTCGAACCCATAACCTGCTTCTGTACCTTACGGGAAGTAGAACAACTACTCTAATTCTAATATACCTCAAGAGCAAGGCCGCCACCGAACTGGAAACAGGTACGGCATGAACAGCCACAGCCAGGGCCACCACATGCCTCTGGCAGAGGCGGCGAAATTGGAGGTTTCGGTCTAGCGCCGAATTGGACTCGGTTGTAAGATAAAGTTACACCATTAGACTCTCCCTTCTTCCCCTCGCTCCTCGACAAGCTTTTGCTTAGACATGGGTTGTAGTGAAGGGGGGGGTCTTTCTGGCGAGCAGGGCTAGACTCACCCTCAAGGGATGACCGAAACCTTCTTGCTGCTGCGCATATCCGCCGCGAGGCATGCGCGTGGTGGTGTAG